GCCTGGCTCTGCCAGGGAGGGAGGTGGTGGTTTGTATCGCTGCTTTCCTCCCCTTGTCCCAGGAGTTGATGGGCAGCCTCTTCCTCCTCACTCTGGTCACCCCAAAATGTGCAGGGAAGATCCTCTCAGAAAGGGGTCTCTGCAGGGTGCCAGGATCGCTGGGATAGGAGCTGGGGACCCAGCAGCACCCACTGACCCAAACTTGGGGCAGAGGACAGGGAAGAGACCAGCAGGGTGCACTGGGAGATGGGGCTGGGTAGGCAGAGCTCTTGTTCCATCCCCATCTCTGGGGAAGGAGGATGCCATTTGGCAGTGAACACCAGAGGAGGCTGTCTTGGCAGCGGGCTGCCTGGCAGAGCTCATCCCTGTAGCCTTGTTAGCTCGGCTCCTTATCTTTCTGTTATCGTCTCTGCCTGCCCTCCCAGGCTGTTATGAGTTTGTTGTCTCACTCCTTTTCTTCCCGGAGCACTGCTGGGTCATGCAGCAGGCGCTGTCTCTCCGCTTTCACTGGCAAAGGGTTTGTGCATGTGCCCACAGCCAGCCAGTGCTGACGCCTTGGGGCTGGACAAGTAATGGTCCTCACCGGCGGCACGTGCGCTGCGGAGGGCTCAGCCATGGGCCACGGGCACTGTGGGAAGATGGAAATGCTGAAGAGCAGCAACTGCCTGCCCCAGTGACCAGCCCTGACTGGCCTGGGTGCCCTGGCAGGTCCCAGAGTGGCTGGACTCATCCCTGCCGGAGATGGGGTGGTTTGTGTGGACTCTGCTCCACCAGGAATGCCCCATCCGGCTGGAGGCCACTGCTGTACTGAAATGTCTGTCTGTGTGCGTGTGTCTGTGCTTGGTGTGGTGTGTGTGGGTCCGGCTGCACCTGGGTACCCTTGGGTTGTGTCTGGGTGTGTGTGTCTGGGTGTCCCTTGCATTCACAGAGAGCCTGGCCAGTGCCAAAGAGGAGAACGTGGGCATCCACCAGGTCCTGGACCAGACCTTGTTGGAGCTGAACAACCTCTGAGCTGCCCTGGAGAGCCCCTATCCCTCTTCCCTACCCAACACGTGCACCTCACTGGCATGCTCAGGACATCATCAGCTGAACTGCATCTTGGCCAAATCCACACATCCATTGAGAAGGGAAGCCCTGCAGCCTCACAACATGGCTCAGGGACATCTTGTCTGTGCACAGCCTGACTGGCTCTGTCCTGTCTTCATGTCCAAATATTAAAGCAGTTTGACAAGATGGCTGGCTGCATTTGGTCCTTGTGGGCGGGCACAGGCACTGGGAGGTGGGGTGGGGGTCTCCCTGCCCAGTTCGTGCAAGGAGGCTCTGCAGGGGCCCAAGTCCATGGCCAGCATATGGATATTCTCTGTGGCTGTGGGGGGCTCAGAATGATAACATGGCTGTGTTTCCTCATTTCCATCACTTCCTTGGAATGCAGAGGAAACCTCTGCATCTCAAGCTCAGTCTAAATTCATCATCCTCTTCAAGTAGAGAGTGATAGACTATGTCACTGGCATGCCCCCTTCCACATTCTGCATGCTATCTACTTGGCACCTGGGGAAGCCACAAGGTCTTTGACCTCTCCATGGAGTCTGCTTCAGGATTCCTGTGTATGACACTGAGGAAACATACAAACACATGACCATGCATGCACATGTTATTAGTGATTGGGGTCTGCTCCATGTCTGGGATTAGCTGCTCACCCTGTGTAGCAGTTGCATTTTCTATTACCCTTGACTGAGGGATAGCTATATAAGCTAGCAAACATCAGTGCAGCAGACAACCACTTCCCAAAGTGTTCAGGAAGTTTCCTCCTGGCTTGCTATATTTTCTCCAACACAAATTGAAGAGAAGCCAGATGTGTCTCATCGCTGTCACCAAAACAGGCTGGATTTCCTGGGGATGCCCAGAGTCATGATCTAGTCCTGCCCTTCGCTTTGGGCCCCTCCATGATGTGTGCCAAGCCCTGTTGTCCCACGGCACCCAACGGATATCCCTCTAAAAGCACAGCCACATACTGACAGGAAACACAATTCATGCTGACCCCTTGTCGAGCCAGGCCATCGCCCCAGCGAGCGACCGCCAGGGATAGCTTTTGTTATCTGCTTTCCTTTATTTGCTGAGCCTCTCAGCTCAGGAAAGGAGGGTGGTGAGATTACATCTCTTTCCTGCCCAGGTGCTGCTGGCCTCCTGCCCTCTCCCTGGCCCAGCAGTTTTGTGGTTCCAAGTCCTTCTCCAACAGGTAAAAAAGCTCCCTGCGCATTGGGTGCTCGTTTTCTGTTCATCCTCCAAAGGGTGCAAGGCCTGTCATGAGCTGCAGCCTCCCACCCTGGACCTGGGCGAGCAGGAGGGGAGGACAGTACACACTGTCTTGGACTGCTGAGCTGTCCCTGTGCAAAGGCTGGAGCTCCTCCCTGGGTCCACCTTGTTTTCTTGCAGTGCATTAGCTGAGCCACTCTGTTGTTTAGTCAAAGCACCTTCCAGGCAGGGGATTGTCTGGTTCCAAAAAGAACCAGAGTGTAAAATCACCTTTCCTCTGGAAGCCTGCACCCTGTGCTGCAAACAAGCCTGCCCTGTGCTCTGGTCAGGGTGCGTCCTGGTGCCCAGCCTCTGTCGCCTTCCTGCTGGGACAAAGAGCCCTTTCACACCCACTGTTTTTTCCCCATTAGCTGCTGCTGCCTCCTGGTTTGTACCAGTCCATCTGACTTAACCATTTACAACCCTCTGCAAGGGCTTTTTCATTCCTTTGAACTGTCTGTGGTTTGACAATAATATCCTGATATCTGTTCCCAGGTGATGCTCTGCCTGGGAGAGACATGAGCCATTTCGTGGTTCAGCAAAGCTTTGCACTTCCTCCATTCTCCCATCCATCTCCTTCCCCCACATGGCCCTGCAGAGAGAGAAGGCAGCCAGGGAAAGCCCTGGGAGGCTGGGGCACCGTGGAGCAGCTGGCATGGGAGCTCGACCTAGAGGCATGTCCCCCATGCGCCACAGGCCCACGCTGAGGACTGAAGTGCCTGTCCTCTCCTCTCTTCCTCTATCTGCACATCTCCCACTGAATTTCAACCTTTGGATTTGTTTCTCTTGGCCTGACAGACTGAACATCTCCCCAAAGAGCTTTCAGCCCTGTCATGGGCTGCCACCCCATTGATAAACCACCCCATTAACCTCTGGCAGCCTTTCACCTCTGCCCTCTGCCCCAGTTTTCTTGCCTCTCTGGCGTCTCATTTCATCTCCAAATCCTTCCTGTTCAATACCCTTGAACTACACGCTGGAGGGGGAGGACCACACAAAGAGTGTCTGAGATATTTTGATATGTTGAGCTGTGCAGAGCCAGGCACAGACCACTGTCACCCCTCAGTCCCTCCCTGCATTTACAGCTTGAGAGATTGGGGTGAGGTCCAGAAGAGCCACGTTGTCGAGCTGTGCAGGGTTTGTTGCAAGGCTCTGAGGGTTTTCAAAACAGGTCAGGCAGCCTGAAGCCAAGTGTCACACAAATCCCCCTGTCCCCAGATTGATATTAGGGACTTCTCAATGCCAGCAGAGGACAAGGCAGCTGGAGGGAAACATGGACACCAAAACCACGTGGTGCTGTCTCATTTCCATATGAGTTATGAATGCCCCACATGCAGTGCTTGGTACTGCACTACACACCGGGGTTGTGCTGCCTGTGAGGGAGTGTGCAGTGAAGGAGGATGTGTGGCCCCTGCTCCACATGCTCGGGGAGGTTGGGACCAGCACTGGAGCACCCCTGCAGCAAGACAAGCCTATGGCAGGGTGACAGGCAGCAAGGGACCCTTGCGGAGCATTCATTGTATTGGTTTAGTAGTTGCTGGCCCCAATGTTGATTAATTGTCTTTCAGAGCAAAAGTAAATAAAAAGCACTTGTTCTCAGGGTTCTGTTATGTGATGCCTTTCTTGCAGGATGTCTTCTCTATGTTGATGTTTATTGTCCTTGTGGACTGGGCTAGGATCACCATCTTGGTGCACTTCACAAATGATTTCCTCTGGGCCAGGTGGTCTGACTCTGAGCTGTTTTGCAAAGAAGTTATGAAACCTTAGGCAAACTTGTGCCCCATTTCCTCCTCTGGGATCCCTTTTGCCAGGGCATGACTTGGCCCTGCAAACCCCAGCGATCCAGCCAAACGCCAGTAGTGTCCCTGGAGCGAAGATCCAGCCTCCAACTTGCTGGCTGCAAGGGCCAGGGAGTGGGCTGGAGGGGCAGTGCCCCAGGGTTTCCCAGGTTCAGGAGAGCCTTCTGCGTGCCACACTGGAGTGCTCTGCTGCAGACTGTGCCTCTCAGGAGCAGGGCCATGAGTATTTCATGAATAGATGCTTTGAGACCCAGACCTCTCAGAAGCTTTGAGCCTGGCTGCAGGTGTGCCGAGACAGGTACGGGGGCCAGTTCAGCACCTGCAGAACTCCACATCCAATGCACTTGTCCGAAGTCTTCTGGGGGCAGAAAGGGTGTGCGTGAGGGTGTGGGTGTCAGTAAGTGGGAGTGGGTCCCAAAGTCCCTTTCTTTGTCAAGTCTCGTTTGGGTTGAACACACAAGTGGAGGGAACACAGACTCACAGAGCCATTGAGGCTGGGACAGCCTGCACACCCCAGCCGTGGTCCCTGGGTGGCCGTGGGGACAAGGCCAAGCTCCCCGGGTACAGACTGTGTTCCCACACAATCACAGGATGCCTCGAGCTGGAAAGGACCCACGGGGACCATCAAACTCCAACTCCTGCCTCCTGCACGGGACACCCCCAACAATCCCACCACGTGCCCGAGAGCGCTCTCCAAACGCTTCTTGCGCTCTGTCAGGCTTAGTGCCGTGACCCCTTCCCCGGGGAGCCTCTTCCAGCGCCAGACCCAGCTCCGCGCTCAGTACCTTCTCCCGACATCCCACATTCCCGCCCGTGCGCCGTGACGTCACCGTCCGACCCCGCCCACCGCGGTCAGGCCACGCCCCTCCCGGCGCGGCCCCGGTGGCCGCTTCCGGCGGCGGCGGCGCGCGCAGCCGTGACGTCACTGGCCCCGGAAGGGCGGCGGAGGGGGAAGGGCCGCCGGGCCCGTCCGGACCAAGCTCCGCGTCCCGTGTGTCCCGGCCCCGTGTCCCGCCGACATGACGCTCGCCGTCTTCTTCGGGTGCACCTTCATCGCCTTCGGGCCCGCCTTCGGCCTCTTCCTCTTCACTATCGCCCGCGATCCGCTCCGCATCATCATCCTCATCGCCGGGTCAGTCCCGTGGTGGGGGCGCTGACGCTGCTGTGGGGGCTGATGTGGGGCCAGGATCGGTGCCGGGAGCGGTGTGGGGATCACGGGGTGCAGGGACCAGTGCTGGTGCTGGTACCAGTACGGGTGTGACAGGGGTGCTGGTACCAGTATGGGAGTGAAAGGGGTGGTGGTACCAGTGTGGATGTGACAGGAGCACTGGTACCAGTACAAGTGTGACAGGGGTGCTGGAACCAGTACAGGTGTGACAGAGGTGTTGGTACCAGTGTGGGCGTGACAGGGATACTGGTACCAGGATGGGTGTGACAGGGGCACTGGTACGAGTGTGGGTGTGACAGGGTGATGGTCCCAGTGCCTTTACACGACCAGTATGGTCATGACGGGGCACTGGTACTACTGCTGGTGTCGGTACAATATGGGTGTGAAAGGGGCACTGGTACCACTGCTGGTAGTGGTACCAGTATGGGTGTGATGGGCTGCTGGGACCAGTGCTGGTGCTGGTGCCATATGGGTGTGACAGAGGTGCTGGTACCACTATGGATGTGATGGGTGCTGGTAGCATGAGGGGCATGAGGCATGTGACTGGTACTGGCTGAGGCACCCTCATGGGACCAGTACCTGTGCTGCTGTGGGCTCAGTGGGGTCACCAGTACTCATACTGGTGCTGTTCTTTGCATGACAGGAGCACCAACATTGTTTCTCTTACTGTCACAGCCATCGGTACATCATGGACACCAGTACCTATATTACCAGTACCAGTGGAGGGTTGGGAGTGGTACTGGTGCGTGTGTGCAGCTGGGGCACTGGCACCGGTATCGCTGGGACCAATAGGGTGTGGTATTGCTGCTGGCATGAATATGATCCTGGCACAGGTGCTGGTACTGCTTTGAGCACAACAGGGGCACTGGTGCCAGTTCTGGTGAGTGGTGGAGCAGGAGTGCAGGCACAGCACAGCATTGGGACCAGTACAGGCACCACCTGCCCGGCACTGGGACCAGAGCACAGCACTGGGACCAGTACAGGCACCACCTGCCCGGCACTGGGACCAGAGCACAGCACTGGGACCAGTACAGGCACCACCTGCCTGGCACTGGGACCAGAGCACAGCACTGGGACCAGTACAGGCACCACCTGCCCGGCACTGGGACCAGAGCAGCGCTGGTGCTGGTGGGAGAGCAGGCAAGGCTGGGGCACAGCTGCCATGCCAGTACCAGCACAGAGGGGTGCAGGATGGTCCTGATGGCCCCGGCATAGCCCCAGTGCCAGCAGGCTCTGTCTCTTGCAGGGCTTTCTTCTGGCTGGTGTCGCTGCTGCTCTCGTCCCTCATCTGGTTTATCGCAGTGAAAGCCAGCGACCCGCAGGATGAGCGGCTGCAGAAGGGGCTCCTGATATTTGGGGTGATGTTCTCTGTGCTGCTGCAGGAGGCCTTCCGCTTCCTTTACTACAAGCTCCTCAGGTAATGGCGTCTCCCCTGCTGTGCCAGTGCTGCTGGATGGTGGTCCTGGCCGTGGAGGGTGTCACATGTTGTCTGGGAGCTCCTGGGCTGGGGGGGATGTCACATGTGGCACCAATCATCTCGGTGCTCTCTGGGAGTGCATGGGTGGCACCTATTCCGATGTGTTGACCTCAGTGGGTCTCAGGGGGTGGAGCAGAGCAGCCCTAAGGTCTGGAGGACCTGGTGCCCGGACCAGCCCGGGACACAGTCTCAGTGCAGCCTCGGCAGCTCCCGGCCTCCATGGTGCCACTTGCTTGGAGTGCAGGGTTTGTGCTGCCAGGTGAGCACGTGCTGCACCCTGTCCTGTGTGGACAGATGGACAGACACTGTGCTGGGGCTGTGCAGACAGGCATGGGCAGGTAGTGCTGGGGTCGGCATCCCTCATAACCCCCAGCTTTCCCGGGTCGAAGCTGGGAGCAGGCCAGGGGAGCCGGGGCTCGCAGTGCTCCCTGCGGCAGGGCACTGTCAGAGGCAGGCAGGCAGAGGGTAGCAGTGCTCCACGGAGCAGCCTCTGACACAAACCACTGCGTTTTGCTTGCGGATCTCCAGATCTAAGCTGTGCTGCCCTCCCTGGGCTGAGGAGCTATCTGATGTGCTCACCCACCACACCTCTAGCTGATAAAAATTATGAAGCCTCTCCCAGTTTCTCTCCCCAAAGAATTTTTCCAGCTCCTTCCTTGTTTGTCAACATCTTTCTTGGAGTATAAATGCAGAGATCAGGTGCAGCCTCCCTTGCCTGCACTGGAGCTGCTTTCCATGTGGGGGTGCTGCTGCTTGCCTTACACCCGATGTCCTGCTCACCCCAGCCCTGCTCTGCTGGGCTGGCTGGCACCCACATTCCTCTGTGGAAAATCTTTCTGTGTGGCTTCACGTGGTGTTCACATGTCTGGTTTGCCTGGTGGTACAAGTCACACGGATGTTCTCCGTGGTGGATGTTGCAGCTCGAGGTGGGGAGGTTGCCAGGAGGATGACATGATTGAGTACTGCACCATGCCTCAGGAGATGGCTGGGCTGTGTTGGGCTCCACTGTGCTCTCTCACCCCACAGGAAGGCTATCGAGGGGCTGGTGGCCCTCAGTGAGGACGGCTGCTCCCCCATTTCCATCCAGCAAATGGCATATGGTGAGTGCTGGGCAGAGCAGGGCACCCTGACCGCAGGGCTGGGCGTGGTGCTGGGAGCAAAGGGAGATTTTTCATGCCAGAGCTGGCTGGGAGGTGCCTGGCGTGGCCCCTAGGAGGCTCAGGGCTTGACAGTGTCCCTGTCCTGGCAGTGGCTGGCGTGGGCTTTGGTCTCATGAGCGGCGCCTTCTCCATGATCAACCTACTGGCGGATGCGTTAGGGCCTGGCACTGTGGGCATCCATGGGGATTCGCAGCTGTACTTCCTGACCTCAGGTGAGTGACTGGCACCCTTTGCTCATGTCTCTGCCCCACTACAGAGGCAGCAGAGCCAGGGGGGATGAAGTTTTCCCTCCATGCTGTCCTCTCCATGCTACACCCTCACCCATCTGAGCCCCTGTCACATCTGTTTGTGCCAAACCCTTCTTTTCTGTCTCCTGTGACCCTCCCTGCTCTTCTCTCCCATCTCTCCCCGAGTGTGGGAGAGATGCTTTAGCTCCTCCCAGTCCAGCTCAACATTATCTCTACTTCCCCATCGTTCCCCAGGCCTGCAGGCCAGGTCAGGGTGGGCAATTCCCTGATGACACCTCTCTGCTGCTCCCTGCAGCTTTTATGACCATGGTGCTGATTTTCCTTCACACCTTCTGGGGGATCCTCTTCTTCCATGGCTGTGAGCATCGGCGCTGGTGGGAGATCGCGGCGGTCGTTGTCATGCACCTCACTGTTTCGGGGTCGGTGAGTAACTGGGAGCAGAGCTCTGCACCAGGACCTGTATTTGGGGTACTGGTCCCCATGCTGGGGGGAAACAATCTTTGGCACTAGCAAAGCAGCTGGCCCTTCACAAACCAAATCCTGGAGTTGGTGTCCTCTGTCCCACTGCACTCGTTGAGGTGGCGACACTGCCACACATCCTATCCTTCTCCCTCTCCTGCCTGCTCACCCTTCTCTTCTCCTGCCTCTCTCCACAGTCATTTTGCAACCCCCTGTATGTGGGCAGCCTGGTGCCCTCCTACATGCTGATGGCTGCTGCCGCTGCCTGGGCTTACCTACTGTCGGGGGGATCTGCGCAGAACCTGCGGCGCTTCCTGCTCTGTAAGTCCTGCTCCGTAAAGGGCATAGGGACACTGTGGGTCCTGCTGGGTACCAGGACTCATGCTGGGATGGCAAGAGGTTGTCCCTGTGGCTGGAACAAGGACATCATCCCCTTGTCTCCCAGACAAGGAGAAGCAAGTGGTTTTTGGGGCCACAGTCAGGTTGTTGCCTCTCCTGGGAGAAGTGGAGTCAAGTGTTTGGTGAAAACTGATCCCTTCTCCTCTCGGTTCCTGCAGGTTTACGGAGCGGAGCCAGCCCCCAACCAGGATCCTGAGGCCCTGCAGGATGTTCCTGTCCCCAGCCACCCCTGCCCTCCCCTCCTATCCTGGTGGCAGGATCAGCCATCACCTTCTCTGCAATATCTTTTCTCCTGGACTCGGGGACCCTGGCCAGCCCCAGCAGGGCAGGCGCTGGGGTCCGGCTGTGGCAGCCAACCTACCAACCAACCAGTGTGGCTGGGACTGGCTCACTCCAACGCCCCTTTGGGAGCCCCCGTAGAACAGCACAGTTTTGGGGGGCCTGACTCCACTGGCCCTGCCGTGAGCTCAGCCCTAGTTAGCTTGCCTGTGAAGGATGCTGCCTTGGACTGCTGGAGTCTTGAGCCCAAAGAAACCCATCGCTTCTCCCCCCGCCACCGCAGGCGTGGTGCCCCCCGTGCCCGGGCGGGGCACCCGCATTGCCTCCTTGCTGCAGGGTGGAGGAAGGGGCTTTGCAAAGTGCTGCCGTGCTCTGGCTCACGGCTGACCCTTGTGGGGCTCCTTTCTCCACCTCTTTGCCCAGTCTTGCTACCACAGGAGCCACGGCCCAGGCGCTCACCTGTGGTAGCGCAGTGAGCTGGTATCTTGGTACAGCAGGATGGTGCTGGGGGACCCAGGGGTACTGAGAGCTCACAGGGTGGGAGGAGAACGGGGGAGAAGGCAGTATCCAAAGGGCCCAGTGGACATGGAGGGTGGTGGAGGGCTTGGGAGGAGATGCAATGCCACAGCTGTTGCCGGCACAGATTTGGGAGAGGGTTCAAGGGACCATTCCAATGGATCATTGCCCTCTCCTGTTCTTGGGGATTTTCAGGCGGGTACCAGCCCTGATTCTGTGCCACAGGGCTGGGAGGGAGAAACTGCCATCGGGCTGAGAAGGCAGTTTTATCCGTAGTGGGCTTTTATACCAATAAAATTAAGTACCACAGAGAAGTGGATGCTGTGTGTGGCCATCGGCACTGCCCGTGTGGGGAGGGTACAAGCAGTGGTGGCAGTGGCTTATGCTGGTGTGACTTAGGGAGAATGGTCTGGCAATTGCAGGCCCCATGTGCCTGGAGGGCTTGCTCCTGCTCTGTTTACCCTAACAGGGGTTAGGCTCTAGGTTTACAACTTTGAGGTGGAGGCTGCTGAGAGCTGGAGTCTACAGGTTCCTCTCCTCTCCCAGGCCTTGGTTTTGCCACTTGAGCCACCACAGAAGGTGGGAGGTAGCCCTGAATCTGGGGCTACTGTGGCTAATCTAGCTCTGATAGAGCTGGAGGTGATCTGGGTGGGGGCTGTCCAGCAAGCAAGCAGTGGCTCTGCCACCTGCAGCTCTGCCTTTCTCCAGCCCTACCAAGCTGTAGCTATGTTTTTCCAATGCTTTGCACAAATAAGAGGAGGAAGAAGTCCCAGAGTGATGGAGGGCAGGGCTGGGCTGTACAAGAAGCCTTGTGCTGCTTACTCTGGAGCTCTGCCCAGCGGACAGAGGCTGATGCTGTCTCTGCTGGTTGGGAAGGGGTCCCTGCATACCCTTCTCCACTGTGGATCCAGCTGCACAGTGGATGCTCTTTCCTGCCCCACAGCTTCTCACAAGAACAGCAGAGAGGTCTGGTACCATGGGTGGCTTTTACTTTATTTTTTTCTTTTTTTAATAGTTTTTACCTTTTTTATAACAAAAATATCTGTTGGAGTCAAATGCTGCCCCAGGCAAACAGTCCATGTGGGCAGCCTGTGCAACCAAGGGATGCTGGAGCACTGGTTCATCCTTGGCCCAGGGTGAGAGTGAGGGGAGGTGGGGTGGCAGCTGAACCGGTGGAGCTGGCACTGCCACAGAGGTGTGGAGTTTACGCAGTGTTCTCGGTGCTGGCTGCGGTGTAAATGACTTTGGACTTGGTTGGTGAGTCCAGCCTGGTGGGGTAAGAAAGAGGGGGAGAGTGTTAGACCAGGCAGAAGGTCTTGCTGCCTGAGACCACCCTTAAGCCCCCTTCTCATGCCCTGGACCAAGGCCCCCTTCTGCATGTCCCCATGTCTCACCGTGCATTCTGGCTGCGGTGCTTGTAGATGTACAGCAGGAAGGCCAGTGCTGTGACAGCAAAGAGCACCCCGAAGAGCACGGCCAGCACATCCCCTACAAGCCAAGCAGAGCCATGTTACACTGGGGATGGCCCCCAGCAGCTACTGTCTGAGTGAGACGAGGCAGAGAGCAGGCTGGTGGCCCCAAGGCAGAGAGGGCACAAAGGAGCAGCCTCGACTGAGCACACTTACCTGCATGAAATGAGCTGGAGTGTCCTTCTGCAAAGGAGACAAAGACCAGAGGGTGAGAACCAGCAATACGGATGCGAGCTCTGCCCTGCAAAACCCACCGTGGCTGCCAGCCCCCCAGCTCAGAACATGGCTTCCAGGACCCCAATTCCCAGGCAGGTACATCCCCTTTGTACCACCTTCCTTTGTACCAGCCCCTCACCTACCTGCTGTTGCTGCTGAACCGTCACTACCTGTAAGAGAGACAGTACAGTCAGGAGGTTGTTCCAGGTGTTCGGGGAGGAAGTGTCAAGCCTGCAGGCCTTCGGGCCCCACTGCCAAAGCAGGGCTGCCTGAAAGACTCCCCATCACCCATGAGCAGGCCGGGGACAGCTGCCTGCAGCATCCCCAGGAGTTCACAGCATCTTGCTGCAGGAATCCCAGCCCTGACACCCTGGCACAGAAGCATCAAGGGAAGAATAGAAAAAAGGATCCCTGAACCACAGCCCACACAGAACCCTCGCTGAGCCCAGCCAGAAGCCTCCCCCCACCATTGCTGTTTCCACCATCTAGGAAACACAGGCAGGGTGCCGAGCACTGCAGCACCCCATGACTCTACCAAACCCCACAGGAGATCCTGGAGAGGGACATGGGGTGAGCCCAGCAGGCGGTGACCATGGGGACAGTTGCCTGTGGCTGGATGGACAGCTCCTCCTGAGGAGGAAGCAGCCGTCCATTGCGGGCAGGGCACCCAGCAGGGGGATGGTTTAGTGGCTCTACATGCAGGGAGGGAGCTGTGCCGGGCAAATATTTACCCAGCGTAAGAGCATAACTTTTAAAGAGCTGCACAGTCATCTGTACACGGCTCGGGTATCGCGCGCAGAGTGGCACTATCTGCGGGCTGTATCCAACTGCGGGAAAGCCGCCACCTTCACCCAGCTCCCAGGGGCGGGAGCGGTTATCCTGAACTGGGAATGACAACAAGCATGGGTGCAGAAGGTGCAGCTCCAGGCAAAATGAGACGTGACCCCCCAGCACTCCACCTCAGTGCTCACTGGCCCCAGGGGTAAAGCAGGCAGTTAGCACTGATGTGGGGAGAAAGCCCCAGCAATCCTGTGCACTCAAGACAGGGGATCAGTGACCTCATCCAGAAGTACTGGGACATTGCCCTGGCAGTTCAGGAACAAGGGCTTTGTGGCTTTGTTGTAGTGGGGATTTTTGGATAGGAATAGCAAATAAGGAAAAGGAAAAAAAAAAGGTAGAGCTGGGCAACTCCTCCCTTGCCCCAGCATGGACACCTGGAGGTTTTGAACAGCTTCTGCAAGAAAGTGGTAAAAGAAAGGCTTGGAGGTAAATGGAAAATATGATAAAGTATCTAACAGGTTTACCAAAGATAGAGCGTGCCAGCCTAACCCGATATCCTTCTTTGATAAGTGATATTCTAGACAAAGAAAATGCGGTAGATTTTATCTCTCCTGGCTTCAGTGAAGCATTTGATGCAGTGCCACATGGGAAACTGCTAGCCGGGCTGAAGACCACAGTGATTAAAAGCCTACAGCCATCAGCAAGCTGGCTGTAGGTGGAATGGTGAGGGAAGTGCCTTGCACCACACTGTGTGGTTACTGAGGCCTGGGACAAAGCCTGTGTGCTGTTCCTATTAGTCAGCTCGACACAAGGTGCAGGAAATGCCACCAAAACAGAAAAGAACAGGATGTTGAACAGAAAAACCCCTGTGACCTCAGGGAACAGCAACGGGCAAAAATTCATTGATGCAGTGCGATAGTCACACCTGAGGATTAAGAGTAAATTCTACTCATTCCTGGAAACCACCAATGCAAGAAAAGCCTTCAAGGACAAACCGAGGACAAGCAGACAGGGCTGCCTCAGGCAGGGGACTGTGTGTCTGGTTGGGATGTCTGTGTGGCCCCACTGGCAGACTGCACCCTTCAGGAGGGGTCTCCAGCACTGCCCTTCCTGCAGGGTTTGGATGAGGGGTGCTTGCTGCAAGTTTGTGCCACCAACAGCTCCTACTGAATTTATCTATTGCATTTGGGACTGAAGGAACTAGCTGGGATGCTAGGACCTGGATGTTTGCTCTTGAACATACATCCCCCAGTCCTCCTACTGGTATGTCTGCAAGACTAAGGATAAACTAAGTTCCTAGAAACAATCTTTCCCAGGTAGGGTGAAAGAAGTGCAGGAACAGAGGAGAGCAGGACCCCAAGACCACTGCTGGGCAGGTCTAACCCAGGCAAATGCTGCACTTTTGTAAGAGGCACAAAGCACTGATTCCTGCTCCTTGCCCCGTCTCTGCACCCCTGCAGCTGGGCACAGCCTGAGCACGCTCACACACTCCTTACCAGGAGTGTGCTTCTGTGAAGGCAGGGTGGTCTGGAAACTGGCCAGCACCCATCGCCCGTGCAGGTCCTGCACTGGCCGGTAATTGTTCTGCAGGAGATCGCTGTCATCAGTCCTCAGGCTGTTCACCAGGATTGACATCTGGAAGGAGAACAGTGTGAGCAGAGCAGCATCCATCCCCTCTTTGGGAGCCAGATGAGCTGCAGGGCACCAGCACAGATGGTGCACGCTTGCAGGGAGAGGCTGGGCAAGACCTAGTGTGGAGCTCATTGCCCTGACAGACCTGGTCACGAGAGAGCTTCATGGTCTGGTTGAAGATTGTCCACTTCACTGTCTGGTAGCAGGGAGGGGTGGTCAGAGAGCCATTGTAGTGGAAGTAGAGTTTCAGGTTGTCAGGCAGTAGACCTGCAATGTTGAATCCGGACACCAACGTTTGCTGCCCTGGGAGAAGAAACACCATAGGAGTGACCTGCAATCCTTTGCAGGACAACAGCATGGAGATCATAGGCAGCCTGGCACTGTGTGTGCCACTGGAGAAAGAGCAGTGAGTTTCCCCTGGAGGCATGTGGGAGCAGAGGGCACCTTGGAGCGCTGCTTCCATAGGAGCGGTGCAATGCTCCCCTTCTCATGTACACACAGCAAATGCCTGCTGCAGCTTTGCTCTGCCAGGCAGTGGGTTTCTCTGCAGGGCTGCAGCCCCTGAGACAAGCACTACATGGGACAGGGCCTTACCTACTCCTTCGATTTCGTAGAGATGCTCAAGTATCTCCTGATAGTATGGGTTCTCACTTGGCCCAACCTGCAACACAGAGACTCCACAGTTATGGCAAGGACAGGGGCTGAAGGGAGACCACCCAGTGATGGCAGTGCCAGCAAGGAGGTGTCACTCTCTGTGAGAGGCAGCCTATCCCCATGACCCCTTCATTCTATCAGCACTGCTCTGCCCTCTCTCTCCCCTTCTTCCAAGGTGCATTTGCATCTTTGACAGTCCTCAAAACTGTGCCCAGCTCTGCCACCCCAGCCCCACCCTCCCCCTGCTGATCTATGGGACTCACCTCCAGAAAGGCTCCCAGTACAGCCAGGCCATCTGGGCGAACCATTGCCTCCTTAAAGCTGTCATACTTGGTGTTGTAGTGGACCACGTGGATCTGAAAGGGAAACATGCAATCCCGATGTAGGATGGGCACTGATGGGAGATGCTCACCACTCACAGGGCTCCAGCCTTCTAAAGCAAGGGCTGGGAGAGACGTGCACATGTGACAAGCACCCCTCCTGGGAAGAGAAAATGCTGGTGAGACCAAGGAAATGCGCTGCTGCAAAGCAGCCAGCAGGAAGGTCTGCTTGCAGGAACTTCC